GGAGGAGAGAGGATGGCTTTGCTCATGTGCGGTGTTTCGGTCGCCTCGGCAAGCGAGGATGAACGAGAGGGCGAGAGCCCAGGAGGCAGGAAGAGGTAAGAGGAGTAGGAGAGGGTATGAGGGACTAGGGAAAGGCACGATGAGTAAGGATGGGGCGGCAGGAGGCGGAAGGTATCAGGCGTTCGGGAAGCAGGGTTCTTTCTCATTCGTAGGTGCATTGAGGCTCTGATTATTTATCTTGCGCACGCTGGTATCACGGCAATGGGGCGCAGACGGTGTCCTTTTTGCCCGGGCTGGGGGCCCGACAAGTGTCGTTGCGACGACAAGTCCCGCTGACAGACTGGCCCGGGACGCCCTAAGAAGGCGATGTCGCTGGCGGCGCCTCCAAAGGCGTCGAAGGCGGCGGCGCTGGCGGCGCCTCCTCCGGCGGCGGCGCCAGCGGCGCCTCGGAAGGCTTCCCCGGCTGTTCGCAGCAGCAGCAGCAGCAGCGCCGGCTCCACCGGCACCGGCAGCACCACGAGCGGCGCGGCCGAAGCGGCAGCAGCAAAGGCCGCAGCGCCAGCGGCAGGAGCACCAGCGGCAGCGCCGGCTGCAGCAGCACCGCCAGCCGCCGAAAGCGTGGGCGGTTCCGTTTGTCGGAGCAGCGCCCACGGAGCAGCAGCAACTCGAGGTGGAGAACGCTTTCCTGCGGGGGTTGGCGGCTCCCCCGCACGCGGAGCTCTCCCAGGAGGGTTGGGCCGCGTGGCACGCGGCCCACAAGGAGGCTTGGCTGACAGTGCTGAAAGGCGCGCGGGGGAGAGAATGCTTAGAGTAGACGCCGGCGGCGTTTCAGGCAAACGCGCCAGTGAACGCGCAATCGTGACAAAATATGATGTGGTCCCTGGGCGTTTTGGCTTCCAACACCTGCTGGAATCTGTTGGTTCCGCGATTATTGGGGCGTCTGCTTTGTTCGCGGCCGGCGTCTCGTGGCTTTCGAATCCCCCGCGCAAGGTTGCAAGCGCCTCTGCGAGCACCACCTGGAGAACGCGAAGAGGCGCCACGACCAGGCGGCAGAGCTCCAGCAGCAGCGGGAGAACAGCGCCCTGAAGAGAGCGGCGTCAGCGGAACGTCGAGAACGGGAGAGCAAGGAGCCGCGGGGGCAATAGCGCGGGCTCGTCCAAGTTATTCTGTTTTGTCGGGTCTGCGTCTCCCGTCCGCAGCTCCGCGCGCATCGTGGCCACGAAGGGAGCTCCACCGACGGCGGTGCGGGCAACTGCGGTGCGCGGGCACCGACGTTTCGCGCCCTGGTTCGTACTGTACGCGCTGGAGGTGTCTTCGCGCTGGAGGAGAGAGAAGTGCTCGATTCCCTAAGGAGAAGGCCCAGTACGAGCTGGGGCGTGTGAACGGCGTGCTCGAGGCCGAGCGAGCCGAGGCCCAGCGCCGCATTGCGGCAGCTGCTGCGCGCCGCGCGGACCAGGCCACGGGCAGGGGCAAGGGCGTGGCAGGGAAGGGCGCTTGCACGCTGGACACCGGCGCGAGCAGCAGCGACTACGGCACGGGGAAGAATGACGCCGCGAAGGGCGTTGCAAACGGCAAGGGGGCGACCGACGCCGTGAAGGGCAAGGGGAAGAACGACTCCGCGAAGGGCGAAGGCGAGGGCAAGGGCGCAACGGGGAAGGACGAGAACGCCAACAACCCAGGGAAGGGGGAGAAGGGCCAGGGCGAGAAGAAGGGCATTTGAGCGGCCACGTAAAGACGCCGGCAGTGCTGAGGCGGGGGGGGGAGGAGGAGGAGGAAGACGAGGAGGAGGAGAAGGAGAAGGAGGGAGAGCATGAGGAGGCGGAGGGAAGGAGGAAGAGCAGCATGGGCAGGAGAGGGAGAAAAAGCAGGAGGAGGAGGAGGAGGAACGACATAAAGGTGGAGGAGGGGGAGGGGGAGGATATGGAGGAGGAGGAGGAGGAGGAGGAGGAGGGGGAGGAGGAGGAGGGGAGGCGTCGTAACGCGGAATCCTATGGAGCTGTTGGATATGTCGTGGTTTCGGGCTAGGGCCGCTCGCCTGCGCGGGCGGGGCCCGAGCATGTCAGTTGAGTTGTTTAATCGATTCGCTCACTCCGCCGGCCTTTTTCGCATCTCTGTGGCTCTCGGGGGCCCCGGGGGCCGTTTGGGGGGCTCTTGGAAGCATCCCGGGAGTTTCTTGGGAGCCTCTTCGGGCTGTATTGGAGCCTCTTGGGGGTTTCTCGGGGCTTCTTGGGGGCTTTTGGGAGCCTCCTGGGTTTTTTTGGGGGCCGGGAGCTCGAAACCTCCGTTCGGGTTCCTTCTTTGGGCCTTCCTTGGGGCTGTCCTAGGGACTCTTCGGCTGACATGGAGGCCAGGAGGAGGAGGAGGAGGAGGAGGAGGGCGAGGAGGAGGAGGCGGAGGGAGGAAGAGAAGGAGGAGGAGGAGGAGGAGGAGGAGGAGGAGGAGGAGAAGAAGGGAGAGCATGAAGAGGAGGAGGGGGAGAGGAAGAGCAGCGCGTGGAGGAGAGGGGGTAAAAACAGGAGGAGGAGGAGGAGGAGGAGGAGGAGGAGGAGAAGGAGGAGGGGGGGGAGAAAGAGGAGGGGTGGCGTCGTCACGCGCAATCCTAGAGAATTGTTGGATATGACTGGCGGTTTCCGGCCAGGGTTGCTCGCCTGCCCGGGCGGGACCAGACCTTGGAACTTGAGTTATTGAATCGTTTCGCTCACTCCGCCGGCCCATTTCGCATCTCGGTGGCTCTCGGGGGCTCGGGGGCGCAGTTTTGGGGCCCATTGGAGGCGTCCCAAAGGCTGCTTGGGAGTCTTTCGGGGCTTTATTGTGGCTTCTTGGACGTCTCTCGGGGCCTCGCGGGGGCTTCTGGGGGCCTTCTGGGCGCCTTTTCGGGCCGAGAGCTGGAAACGTCCGTTCGGGTTTCTTCTTTGGGCTCCCCTTCGGGTTATCCTAGGGCCTCGTGGGCCGTCATGGAGGCCTTTTGGGCCGTCTTGGGGCCTTCGTGGGTTATTTTTGGGGCCCTCTTGGAAAACTCTCGGGCCGTTTTGGGGCGGGTTTGGGGGCCTCTCGGGCCGTCTTGGCGCGTCGGGGAGTTGAAAAGGCGAGAACGCCCAAATCCTGTTACAAACAATTGGAAATACATCATGTTTGCCTCTCGGGGCCCTCAGGGGAGGCTTCTTGGAGGCCTTTTGGGGCGTACAGCGGGCATCTTGGGTTGTCTTGAGGCTATCTTGGGCCGTTGTGAAGCGTTCTTAGCCTCAGGTTGTGGCGCCTGCAACTTATCTGGCGCCTGCTTGGGCCGCTCCTGGAGCGTTCCGAAGGCTCCCAGGGCCGCGCCCAGGATTTTGGCATCTTGTAAAGCCTGGTGGGTTAGATTGTATGTTACCCTATGGCTTGACGTGTTGATGCCAATGAATGTGCCAACCATGGGGTGCAGTGTCGGAGACTGGCTCCACAATCTCCGACCACATGGGAAAAACCTCATGGTGAATGCCTGCGCTGAAAGAAGTGCATGTTCAGTCATGGCTTGAGGCAGCGGTTGATCGGCTGTGCACACTGAGAGTTGCGATGCGTCTCCGGCAGGACCTTGCCGGGAGTTGCCCGGGGTACTTTTCGCCTGGAGACCCCCAGGAGCCGCCCCGCGCGTGCGAAATAGAAACACGGTTAAGATGTTACTGGAGGTCTTAGCACGCCTCTGGCCCGTTGGGCCGGCGAATTGGGCAAGCGGATCGCAACCGAGAATTTGTAGCCTCCGGCGGAGATCCCAGCGCCGAGGCTCGTTTGAATGCGGATCGCAATGAAGAAGTTGTAAAAACATTTGGTATTGGGTGGTAGGAGGGCCGCATTTTTTCAATACCTCGCCACGGTGATCGGGTGCTTGTTGGTTGACTTTATGTGTGTGTACGTCTTTATGCCTGTCTGTCAGTGTGTCTGGCTGTCTCCATGCGTGTGTTTGTTTGGCTCGACGGCACTCTGTCTGGCTGTCTCTATGCGTGCGTTTGTTTGTCTCGAAGGCACCATTTGGGCTGAAGTGTCGTACGCCCGTCCGCCGAGCCCTAGGAGAAGTGGAAGCGCGCGATGATAGTGGAAACGATCTGGTGGCATTCGGCCAAACTCGCCACCGTGTTTGGGCTGTGGGTCGGAAGCCTTTTTGATGAAACTGTGAGTCTCTTGGGATCCCTGCCACTACGAGAGGGCTCTAGGGGGCATATGGGAGATTCGGAGAGAATGTCAACAGCAAAGAAAACACAATGGAAAATCAATGATTCTGGCTTCCTGGGTCTCTCTTCTGATGCCTCTTGGAGATGTCTTGGTGCGTCTTGGCGGCCTCTTGGGCTGTCTTGGGCGTTTGGGGGCGCTCTTTGGGCGTCTTTGGATTGTCTTGGGCCATCTTTTGGGTTTCTTAGGCAACTTTTGGGCAAGCAAACCGTCCCGGACGCTGATGCGTTTTCTCCCAGCCGCGCTTCGCCCGTCCGCTGGAAGAGAAATTATATCCATTACAATGGGCATCTCAGTGACACGAAGTTCTGCCTTTGACAGGGGACTCCGAAGGGGCATGGGAAGCGAGGGGCCGCTGAAGGGGATTCGGAAGAGCGACTTCCCGACGCTTTCAGGCTCGAGCGGGTGGTGGACTCCCGCGCTCCGCATCGGTGCCTTCCGGGGGGGCCTGCATCCGCATTCCTTTTCCATTCCCTCCGCATGGCAACCCGGGGCGCGCACGTTGACGAGGCGCTTCCGCCGGCAGCGCCCGATCGCTTACGTACTGGTGCAGTGCAGGGGGACGCGCTGCGGGCAATGCGGCACCGACGGCATCGTACCGCCCTCCGCGCTCCCGAATCGCCGGCCCCGCCACCCATGGACAGGCCACGAGGTGGACATGAGGCGACTGCGTGATCGCCTGCAGGCGTCAGTGGCCACGCGCTCCAGCGGCACTCAGACCGTGGATGTCGCAGTGTTAGTGTGTCCGCGGCGCTTTTGCCGTCACTACCCCATGCATGTGGCTCGTGCCCGCACAGGGCGGTCGGGAGCGTTGGCTGCACACTGTACCAGCGGACTTGGACTATTGCTTTGTCTCGGCGGAGTTCGGCGTCGAGGTGTCCCTCTTGCGGCGGTTCGAGGCTCTCTGGGTGGCCGACGGAACCAGGTTCGAGAACTTCGCGGCGGCCTATGGGACATTCTTCGGGTGCCCGCGCACTGCGTTCCAGAAGAAGGACTTCCTGCACGCATACGTTCTCTGGAGCTCTCTATGCTGGACGGCGGAGGGAATTTTGCAGGAAAATCCCATGTGGCTGGATGCAGGTGCTGCTGGCGCAGCAGGAGGAGGACACGTGTGGGCCAGCGTTCCGTACTTCGACTGCCGCATCGGCAACCAGGGCGCTGACATCGAGGAGTTCTTGGGCCCGTTGCGGAAGTACTGGTACCCCGCCTTCAACGACCAGTGGGTGGCCAGGCATTCCGAATATTGCACGTCCGACTGCACCAAGGTGATGCTGCTCGATGGGAGCGCCAAGAATTACCGAACCGGTTGCCCTGCGGAGATTGCTCCCCTCGATTACCACGGCGTGACGGTGCGGAGGATGTGCGGCAGGCCAGTGCAAGGCCCGTCCGGCTGCGCTGTTCACGGCCATGTGCCGCGCCCTCCGCCGCGCCAGTCTGGCGGCGGTCGCCGGGGCCAGCGGGAGTGTGCTACACTGAAAGAGCGGCATCATCCGACGGCTTCCAACCGGAGCTTTGGGTGCCTGTCCAGTGCTTTCCGATGCCGCACGTTCGGCCCTTTCTACGAGCTCGCTTACGCGGAGAGCTGCTCGCACGTGTACATGGCGGAGAACGAACTCAAGTCCCTCAACCCGGATTTCGCCATCAGCATCTACGACGACGGCTGCCACATGCGAGATTTCTGGCTGACCCGCCCGTCTCAGGTACACCCAGGGTGAATGCCCCGCCACTTCATTCCTCGCAGTCATTTGCGTGGCCACGTCCGTCTCTTTTGCCAGGAATATCTGTGCCCAGATTCTTGCTCGGACCTCTACAAGTACATGCTCAGGGATGTGCAGCTCTCAGCCCAAGACGCCGCCGCTCTGGGAGCCGCCCTTGATAGGAACGGCTGCCTCCGCAGAGGCACCACGGTCGGCGGCGTTGACTTGCCCAGGAACGCGACGTTGCAGGCAGCGGGGGGCAAGCGCATGGACGCTCGCTGCCATCTCATCACAGCATTGAAGGAGGAACCCCTCCCTGTCTGGACCGCGTGGCAGCAAGGGGACGCACGCGTGGTGCTCTCCGTGAACACTAACGCGCAGCGGACTGCGCTCTTGGCTCGCTTCGACCCGCTGCTGCGGCTGAAAGGCCCGCACCCAGTCCGACTTCGAGATGCCGAGGGGCAGGCCGCGTGGGTGCGGAAGGGCGCCGCGCTCGTAGCCGCGGGCGTCTTTCGCAGGGACGGGCGTGAGGCTGTGCGCCAGGCCTTGACCTCGCATGAGGCCGTGAGCGGCGTCACCGTGGTGAAGACGTCCAACACTGAGGCTGTGGAGGAGAACTGGCGCTTCATCAACAGGCACAAGGCGACGCTGCGGCACGCGGGCGCAGAGATGAACTTCTATCTTCTGCACCGCATTGCCCACCTCCTCAACGTCCGCCGCTGGGCGGATTCCGAGGAATGAGTGGCGGGTCGGCTTTGCGCGCGCAGCGGGGGTGTTGCTTAGCGACCGGGCATGCGAGGTGCCCGCTCTTATTGTTTAGTTGAATACACTTGCCTAAAATATTTCGCATGGATTCGAGCTGCCTCAGCGCCGCGCTGGTGCCCGTGCCAGAGTGCCTCGGGGGGGGATCCGACGATGAGAAATTCTTGTCGGGCTCAGGGGCCTCATGGCTGGTCACCTGGGTTCGGGCGTGGTCGAGGTGTTTCGCAAGCTCCCCCGATGTGGCAGGAGGTGAGGGCTGGGGGGTACCCGCCAGCGCGGCTGTTTCATTTCCAGGAGGATCGGTGGGCCGATCTGGGAGCAATCGCGTCACCGTAGCTTTCTGGCCTCCAGCTGGCAGGTGCTGACTTCACCGATTCCGCGCCCCGCGCTCGTCAGCAGAATTTCTGTTGTCCCTGCGGTTCTAGGGCCATGTCGACCGCTAAGAAACAGGTGATAAACAGGCACCTCGAGGCCGCCGTGAGATCCTTTCGGGCTGCATGGAACGACGACTCTATTCTGGGGGATGCGAAGGCTTACGTGTACAGCGTCGCCGTCCCCTACGTGATGCACCCGGCGGTGGCGCTCATGGGCTTGCACAACCTCGGGTTCCTTGCCGCGAACGGCATCAAGGCGGGCGTGAGGTCGTCGGGGGCGAAGGTGACCAACTTCGGGTCCTTCTTCTACCACGGGAAGAAGACGGGGAAGTCCAATTACACGGACTTTGTCTTCCAGCACGGGGAGGAGTTCGAAGTGGACGTCAACGACGCGGCATGCAGGCTGATCCACAACCCGCCTGCTCAGGCGGACGGCGTGCCTTCGGACCCCCCCACCACCACGAACATCATATTCAAGAACGTGGGGCCCGAAGAGATGATGGCTCAAGCAGACCCGAATAAGTTTGGGCGCGGGTGGTGGTCCGCCATCTGGGCAGAGGCGGAGTTCGGGAGCCACTGCGAGCAAGTGAATCTTCTCGGCTCGGGCGGCGCCCAGAAAAAGTACGAGAACCAGGCGGGGTACAACGACCTATTCGACGACGGCATGGCCTCGAAGCTCTACCGCGACGCGTCGAAGAACTACGGGAAGGACGTGTTCGCTAACTGGAAGCGCCGGGCGCCTCGTGCATTGTCCAAGCGGCCGTTTCGCATTCTGACCCCCCCCCTCCCCCCCCTCCCATGCGGCCGCGCGCGCGGGGGCTGAGCGGATCAGCCGCGGGGGCATTGCAGGGCGGCGCCCGGTGAGGTTCTCCAACGGCAAGAAGTTCGCACCATGGGGTTCTACCACACTGGGCGCATGAACTCCCATGACGCGTACAAGCTCCTCTGCGAGGCCGAAGGACACCATTCCATGGCGTTGCTGGACCGGTATTGCGCCATGCCGCTGATTCCGGAGAATCCGTACGCGGACCCCCCGGGCGGTTTCGATCCCCCGGAGGTTGTCAAGAAGGCAGACGGGGAGTTGCAGCGCGACGCGCACGGATTGTGGCGCAGGGACAAGCTGCCTGCCCCGAGGAAGGAAGTGCTTGACGGCATGAGGGCGGTCAAGGATTTCGTGGAGAGCAACCCCAACGCTGTGGCGCGCTTCACGCCCAAAGGTGCAGCTCTGTATCGCCTGGTGGACAGCGTTAACTGGAGCGCGGCCGACCGTCTTCAGTACGTGGATGAGGACAAAGCCGCCCGGCTTCGCCAGCTGCAGCGCTTCCTCTACGACTTCGCCATTGCCCAGCTGCTGCTTGAAGTCCAGAAGGCTGCCTCCGGTCCCGCGGGCCCAGCGGGCGACGCAGCTGACGCTGGCGCGGCGGCCGCTCCGGGCGCGGTTGCCACTCGCCCCACGGTGAAGGACGCGTTCGTCGACGAGCAGCACGTCCAGCGTGCAGTTTGCCACTTGGCTGCGATCTGGGAGGGCCGCGAGTCCTTCGTGAACCCGCGCCGCACCATGTATTTGGAAGAGAACGTGCGGCGCGGCACGTTGGCCGAGCAGCGAGAGGCGGCGGCGCGGGCCGCGGCGGATGAGGGCGCCGATGACGTGGAGGCCGAAGGCGTCGCGGGCGCCGAGAGCGGTCTCGAGTTGCCGGCGGGGTGGTCGCAGAATGTGTGGAACGGCACTCCGTATTATTACCCCGACGCCGACGAGCGCGCGTGGCAGTATGAGCACCCGTCCACCGTGCCGACCCCGCCTGTGCCGCGGATCCCGCAGGGCGTCGACGAGTACGTCTTTGTGGGGATAATTGATGCGGGCTTGAAGTCTCGCATGATCGCCGGAGTTGACGACGCGGAGGTTACGTGGGGCGGCGGCGACCTGATCGCGGCCGCCTGCAAGAACACGCTCCTGTGGAAATGCTCCACGGCAGAGAACCGCATCACCGGCAACATGGTTTCCGCCGCCATCCGCGCGAGTCAGGTCGCTTGGCCGTCGTTGTCCTGGTGGAAGTCCGTCGTGGTCGAGGGCGAGCTCTTGCGCGCGGGGCTGGGCCGGAAGTCTGACCACAATGCCGGCGGGGGGTTCTGAGAGAAGCCCAAAGTCCCGATTGATGAAGAAGAACTCACTGCCTTCGTGGACCAGTTGGCGCAATGGGGAGTTGCCCTAGAGCATTACGAGCGTGCTTGGGTCACCGGCGCGGCTGCTTCCGGCGCGGCGCCCGCGCGCAGGCCGGCGCGCGCGCCTGCGCGCGCGGCGGCGCCAGGTGGCCGTGCGAGTGATTCGCCTGACCCGGGGGCGCGGCCGACCGCGCGCAGCAGCCCGTCGTCCAACGCGCGCAAGAAGCGACGCGGACCGGCGGGTGCTGCGCGCCCGAATGCTGCCCCGGCGCCGCGCGCGCTGGCGTCGGACTTCCGTGGGCCGACGTAGGCGCGCAGCAGATGCGCCATGCGGTGTGAGACGGGCGAGCGGAGCGCCGAGGGCGCGGCGAGAGAGGATTATGGGGAGGCAGGGCCAGGGCCACGGCCACGAGGAAGGTGCGGGAAGCTTGCTCGCTCCGCTGCCTCAGGAGGGGTGTTTTTTTCATCGCGCCAGCACGCGCTCGCTTTAGTGGCGCCTCGAAGGAGAGGGGTGTGTTCTGCACTCGCAGTGAGGATATGCTTGATTGGTGAGGTTGGAAGTAATTTGGAGGGGTTGCGGTTCCGCTGCGACGTCGGATATTCATTATTAGAAGTTTTATGTGTGTGGGCTGAGACCAACCACTTCATCTGGCTTCCCACATCATGTGTACACTAGCTCAGGACTCGTAGTGGGCATATGCTGACTTGTGATGTTGTAAAGGTGATGAGAGGGGTTGTACATTGCAATTGTTTTTGAGGGGGTGGAGGTTCTGCTTCGACGTCGGACATTCATTTTCAGGTTTTCTAGGTGGATGGGCCGAGACCAACCTACTTCGTCTGCCTTCCTACTTCATGTGTACATTAGCTTCTAGTTCAGCAGTCGCAGTGAGCATATGTCTGAATTGTTGATTGTTGAGGCGCTCAGAGGGACTATACATTGCAATCGTTTCGGAAGGGTGGAGGCTCCGGCACGCTGCGTCGTCGGATATTCACGACGAGTTCTCGGGTGCCACCCACGCTCTACAGGCCGCCTGTATTCCAATATTCCAATGTATGTTCAGAAGAGTGAACCTCGAGAGGGCATTAAATGCTAGTTGATGCGCGTGCCATTCTGTTGTAAGTGTCAGGGGCTACATGCCTATGTTTTTCCGGGGATTCGCACAGTCGGCGTCTTCGTGCTGTAGTGGCATGGCGATTCCGTAACCATGATGGCTTTGGCTGTGCTTCTGGATGTGCTGCTTCCCCTTGCAGGGCGGTTCGCACGTCGTGGGGTTTCGTTCTCGCTGCGCCGCTCGTCGCCATGGCGCGACTTTGGCCTACTAGTACGACCGGCGGAGGGGCCCCCCGCTCGAGACCTGCTCGAAAGTCCCCCCCGGCGGGGCTACCAGTAGGGACGAAGTAGCCCTACTAGTACGGGCCCCGGGGGGCTGGCGGGGGCGTACTAGTAGAGCTACTTTGGCCTACTAGTACGACCGGCGGAGAGGCCCCCCGCTCGAGACATCCTCGAAAGTCCGCCCCGCCGGGGCTATTAGTAGGGCTACTTTGGCGTACTAGTACGGGCCCCGGGGGGCTGGCGGGGGCGTACTAGTAGGGCTACTTTGGCCTACTAGTACGACCGGCGGAGAGGCTACCCGCTCGAGACATCCTCGAATGTCCGCCCCGGCGGGGCTACTAGTACGACCGGCGGAGAGGCGCCCCGCTCGAGACATCCTCGAATGTCCGCCCCGGCGGGGCTACTAGTAGGGCTACTCTGGCGTACTCGTACGGCCCAGGAGAGCTGGCGGGGGCGTACTAGTAGGGCTACTTTGGCCTACCAGTACGACCGGCGGAGAGGCGCCCCGCTCGAGACATCCTCGAAATCTCCGCCCCGGCAGGGGCTACTAGTAGGGCTACTTTGGCCTACTAGTACGGCTCCGGGGGACCGGCGGGGGCGTACTAGTAGGGCTACTTTGGCCTACTAGTACGACCGGCGGAGAGGCCCCCCGCTCGAGACATCCTCGAAAGTCCGCCCCGGCGGGGCTACTAGTAGGGCTACTTTGGCCTACTAGTACGGCCCCGAGGGGCTGGCGGCGGGGTACTAGTAGGGCTACTTTGGCCTACTAGTACGTCCGGCGGAGAGGCCCCCCGCTCGAGACATGCTCGAAAGTCCGCCCCGGCGAGGGCTACTAGAAGGGCTACTTTGGCCTACTAGTACGGCCCCGGGGGGTTGGCGGGGGCGTACTAGTAGAGCTACTTTGGCCTGCTTAGCCGTACTAGTACAACCCGCGGAGTCGTACTAGTAGGCGTACTTTGGCTCTACGGGTTCGCCTCCCGAGCGCCGCGGGTCGTACTAGTAGGCCTGCTTAGCCGTACTAGTACAAACCGCGGAGTCGTACTAGTAGGCGTACTTTGGCCCTACGGGTTCGCCTCCCGAGCGCCGCGGGTCGTACTAGTAGGCCTGCTTAGCCGTACTAGTACAACCCGCGGAGTCTTACTAGTAGGCGTCTTTGGCCCTACGGTTCGCCTCCCGAGCGCCGCGGTAGTACTATAGGCGTACTTAGCCTACTAGTACGACCAGCGAGTCCGTAAGTAGGCGTTCTTCGGCCCTACGGTTCGCCTCCCGAGCGCCGCGGGTCGTACTAGTAGGCGTACGGCGTACTAGTACGACCCGCGGAGTCGTACTAGTAGGCGTACTTCGGCCCTACGGGTTCGCCTCCCGACCCAGCGGGTCGTACTAGTAGGCGTACTTCGCCGTACTAGTACGACCCGCGGGGCGTAACTAGTAGGCGTACTTCGGCCCTACGAGGACGCCTCCCGACCGCAGCGGGTCGTACTAGTAGGCGTACTTCGGCGTACTAGTACGACCCGCGGGTCGTACTAGTAGGCGTACTTCGGCCCTACGAGACGCCCCCGGGCGCCGCGGGTCGTACTAGTAGGCGTACTTTACTAGTACGACCGCGGGTCGTACTAATCGTACTTCAGCCCTACGAGTACGCCTCCCGACCGCAGCGGGTCGTACTAGTAGGCGTACTTAGCCGTACTAGTACGACCCGCCGGGTCGTACTAGTAGGCGTACTTCGGCCCTACGAGTACGCCTCCCGACCGCAGCGGGTCGTACTAGTAGGCGTACTTAGCCGTACTAGTACGACCCGCCGGGTCGTACTAGTAGGCGTACTTCGGCCCTACGAGTACGCCTCCCGACCGCAGCGGGTCGTACTAATAGGCGTACTCAGCCGTACTAGTACGACCCGCTGGGGCGTACTAGTAGGCGTACTTCGGCGTACTAGTACGACCGCCGGGGCGTACTAGTAGGCGTACTTCGGCCCTACGAGTACGCCTCCCGACCGCAGCGGGTCGTACTAGTAGGCGTACTTAGCCGTACTAGTACGACCCGCCGGGTCGTACTAGTAGGCGTACTTCGGCCCTACGAGTACGCCTCCCGACCGCAGCGGGTCGTACTAATAGGCGTACTTAGCCGTACTAGTACGACCTGCCGGGGCGTACTAGTAGGCGTACTTCGGCGTACTAGTACGACTCGCCGGGTCGTACTAGTAGGCGTACTTCGGCGTACTAGTACGGCCAACCGGGAAAACCAAGCACTCTCTCCCAACAGTGATATCGTGTATGATGACATCGTGCTACATGCTCCTCTCGCTCTCCTCCTCCCACTGCACCGCCGCCCGTGGTCAGCCTTATTGCGGCAGAGGACAGCGAGGCCGTGGTTGCGATGTCCCACAAGGGACGGACACCATCACGTCGTCATCTACATCGTACACATCGTGTCAAGTTGGATTCGATTACGGAAACATGCCAACAGGAACGCATCCAACTAACATATGTGCGAACAAAAGAACAGGTAGCCGGTATGATGACAAAACACTTAGAGCCTAAGAAGGCTCAACTTTGGCAGTAATTGCATGCGTTGCCCTTCTTTTTTCCTGCTGTTATGAAGACCGCCGAGAAGCTGGAGATCGCCATGGCCGCCCCTTCCGCCAGGGGCCCTCTGGCCAACAGTATTTCTACCACCGCAGTCATTCGCGCACGTGTGTTTCTTGCTCGTTGCGTGCGTGATTCGCCTCCATTCCGCAGCCATTTGCAGCCTCCAACGCGACCGCGCTCACCGCCTTCCCTCACTCCTGAGGACAGAGGTTACCCAGCCGACAACAATCGGCCAACGATGACGATGCCTCCGATCAAGTTGCACGGGATGCAGGTTGGAGGTCTCGCTCCAGCGTCTGCAACATCCGCGACGTCCTGCTTTCGAGCCCCACATCGATTGTCGCCGCCGTGTCACTGGGGGGATGAGCCGCGACTTTGAGACAGAGAGCCGCCCGGATGGGGGCGGGTCTTACTGGCTCCGCTCCAGTGAGCAGGGCTAAATCACTTCGGCGTCTCAGGTGGTGCACGAGACTGAGAACGTGCTCGCCGGAGATAACTCCCCGAGCCCTACTCCTGCCACGGCGACGCCGTGGATGGCCTTTTTCTTCGTCTGGACCACTGTCTTGGGGCTCTACCTCAAGGACCCGTGGATCGACGCCGCGGCCCGTCAGTGCCCGGACTTCCCGTGGTCCAACCCGCGCGCCGCTGACGCCGATGCCCCCGAATGTCCACCTAAGGATGTTTGCGCGCGGTATGTGGGCGGCATGTAGAAGGTCCTACGGATGCCATGGGATAAGGTTGGAAGCGCGGTGCTGGGCGGCTCGGCCGCTGCGACCACCGACGATGCCCTTCGGTTGTGCGAGTCCCCAGGCCATCCAGGTCCCATGCCGCTGTTTGTCCGCGATCATGGACTCACGGCGTGCAATTTCTCGACGCAGGATCGCGCGCGCATCAAGCTGCCAACAGAACAGCCTGCGGCTCCGCGTGCGTCCGACATGGCGGGGCACGTCGGCAAGATTGCCGAGTCGCTGCAGCGCACTTGCTGTCGCGTCTTTCAGGTGCAAACCGCGTGGCGGGACTACGAAGTCAAGGCATCTTCATGGATCGCATCCCGTGGAGGTTTTAGCGGCGATATTTGTGATCCTGTGCCGGTGGCAACATTCGCAGAGGACAACATCACAATGGAGAATGCGTGTGAGTTGAACACTGGCGACCCGACATGGAAGCCCTGGATACTGAACGAATGCCACCCAGCAGACATTCCTGACGATGGAAATGCTGGTGGATTTGGTCGGCTACTGCCACGCGCTGGTCTGCCTTCGCGGAGTGTCGGTACTTTCTGTGCATGATGAGTGAGCACGGTTGGGGACCAGTGATGAAGCAAGATTTCGGCCTTGCCGTCATTCATGCACTTGGCCCCGACGGCCATGCGTTCAAATTGGTCAACATGTACAGCGACTCGAGTTGCCTCATGGCATTAAAACTGGATCGCAAAAAAAGACACAAACACCATGTGCTGGCATCGACGAGATGAACGCTGCCATTTTACGGCGGCAGATTGCCAGCGCATCCAACCCCGCGCTCGTACCTCTCGTCTGCCCCTGGATGCGTGATTTCCAGTATGAAGCGGGTGCTACACTGGAAGACTTCAGCACCTGGGTGCGAGATGACATCCTCCTTTGGGGTTCGTCGCGTAACAATTTCAAACGTTACTGGCTGGAGAACGACGCGCCAATTGGTTGTGACCTGCCGTTGTTGCCTGAGGCCGATGGCAGCGCCCGCGCTCTGGAACCAGAGGCCGCCCGTGAGGCATTCCATGCGAAGATTCGTCGACGCCTCGACGCGATCACGGCCTCCACAGCTCCATGCAATGAGGAGCAACGGAGGATCATTGGGCATATCCGCCATGCTCGGGCGCTCTACATGACTGGTAAGTATGGCGAATACCGTGACCTCAACGAGGTCATTTGGGCGTACTGGGCAGATTGCTTCCCTGCTTACGTCCAGCAACGTCACTACCAGCGTGGCCTTAGCGCGTTCCTATGGTGGAGTGGCAATGACGTCGCTACGGACAAGGACCTGGATGGAACTCGATCCACATCGAGCCCGTGCACCTGTTCCCAACGAGTATGAGCGTAGGTGGTTGGTTTCACCAGTCCCGGTTGTCCCGGTGATCCCTGAGCACGTTAAAGTGGACATCTCTCGATGTATTGAAGTCTTGAATTTTTTCCGCTGCCCCACTGTCATGGGCCCTGGCAGAGCGCATCAGTGGGGACTACCAGAGAGGTTTGACGAGCTCATGGACGAGATGATCCCGATGTTCACAGGCCGTGGTATTTCTGTCTTCCCCGCTGACCAATGGATCAAAACTCAGGACCGCCCGCGTACCAATTCGTGGCACCAGCTGAAGACGGATCACGACCTTGTGCAGTTGACGCAGCAGTTTATGTATGCCGCCACTCTGAGGAATCCGAGTGCGGTACCATTGTCGCTGCCGTCGCAGCCTTTCCCGTTCCGTCACCCGTTGATCCAGCCTGTAAACGACTACCAAGGCCACGCCCAGGCAATGGAGATGCGGGGAGCATTCCGTGTTCGTCTGGAGCAATCCACGCAGTTCCAGCGTGCCAAGGGTTTCGCTGCCCTGGTGGTACAGGCCTCGGGAGAAAAGGGTTTGGCTGCGCGGATGCACAAGACTTTTCAGGCTGTCAAGTCTTATGCTGACGCCTCTCCGGTACTTCCGCCGGAGGCAACTCCTGCAGCTGGGCCATCTCCTGCCGCTCCGATTTCTCAGAGCCAGGTGCCTGTCCTGGCCTCTGCAAGGACGGGTGCGACCACGCCCGAAGATGCTCCTCTTGCGTGCACACAGGCCACCCCTATTGCATATGGCGAAGATTGGGATGGCAAAGTATACTCTCAGAGATAGAAGAGAGGTACTACTCTTCATGCCAGGTCATCTTTAAGCGCCCCAGCGGTATGCTGGATGATTTTCCTCAGACCAGGTATTCCTGGTCTTCACCCGAACGTGGTTTCATTAAGACCACGCGGAACAGGACATACCTGATGCGTCACGCCGCCACGTGGTTGGCATTGCGGCATTTCGTCGACAAGATCAAAGATATCGCCCCGTTCCGTGCCAGTGAAAAATCAGGAGTCCTCGAAGCGGAACGTGATGTCAACGCGAACTACATCGATGACCTCATTCATTGGTTTCGCAATCGGGCGGCGTCTCAGACGGAGGTGCCTCCCGATCCCCCTTCCGTGGCCCCTGGTACCTCTTGTGGTGGCTCCGTGCCTGTACCGCCGCCTCCGCCAACGCATCCCCCACCGCAGGAGGGTGGCGCCATGGCGGGTACAACCCCCAAGCAGCCGCCGCCTGTGCCAGCATGGTCTGCCCCACTGCCATCCATGCCTACTGCGTCGGTGGCAACGCCCGCATTTACAGTGGCGCCACCGCCACCCAGTGTGGCGACACCAGCAGACCGACCTACTCCGCCACCGGTTCCGCCTTCAACTCCAGCACTGGATATTCGCGAGCCGGAGGCGACTCCCGCAGACGCACGCGCGCCTGCGGAGCCCGTGAAATACGCGATCACGGGTGCACACGACTGTTGCGCACGATCGCAACACGAGACTATGGATACGCTGGAGGACAAGGCATCGTTTGGTATCACTCCCAGGGAATGTGCTAAAATGTCCGACCCATTTCCTTGGGTCCCTCCTCCTTTGCGTGGACACGGTCAATGCCAGTCGTGCATGGGAAGCGTGGAGTACCGCGAGAGTCTATATATACTGCGATGACTATGTGATCAAACGTGCTCCCGACCTCCACAACAGTGGTTGCTTTCCAGACTATGCTTGGATTACTCTTTGTAACGTGATGACTAAATAGCTGGGGCCACCTCTCCTTGTTGGTCCGCTTTACCCTGGTCGTACTATGGGGACACCAGGGTACTTCAGTGAGGCTCTTTCGGCTGCCCTCCGCCATGATGTCGGCGGACGCAACGGCTTGAACCAATTTCTGGACCGCCGTATCAATATATGGCAACGCGACTACGTTGATACATGGGCCGTGGCCAATTGTTCCAAAGCCTTCAGCCACATCGTTCCGGAAGTGTTCACTCGAAACGACTACGGTCCCAATAGGTCTACAGTCCAAGCCCGCATGCTTCAGGCAAGCGATCATGGCCAACAGTGGAGGCGTGCACGTGGATGCTGCAGCATCGCTGGTCTGCGTGCCCTACAGCTGCGCGTCGACGACGAGAAGGCCCGCTTCAAGGTATTTGTCCGCCGCCCCGACCCCGACGTTTCGGGTCAGACTTTGCGTGGGATCAGGTGCTGGCCATTCATGTTATTGGCGGACGCACCGCTGTGCACAACAACAGCCGGCCGTGGAACATGGGCTGGAAATATTTGTCGTGTACGGATGTGAAATTCCTGCACCGCGCCTCTACGCGTGGCGCCTGGGACAGCACCCGCAAGATCGGTATCATCCCAGGCTGCGGTGCCGATCGTCAGACACGGCGTGAGGCATTGTACAGTTCGAGTTCTTTTGTCCTTGGAAGTGAACAGAATCCCCGCGCTACGATCCCTGGATGCAAGTTCGAGCACGAAGAAGCAGGTCGACGTGGTCATCGACATGCATGCCGCCACAGTGGCGGGCTGTGAATTCTGGCTTGGTGAACAAGGGGCCATCGCGTGCTCCCAGACTATTCCTCCGATGGCACTCCTGGCCGTCAGAATTGTCAGGGGGCCCCCCTTTACCCAGACATGATCACGACGTGGAAGTATCTGGCTTTGGCCAAACTCCCGGCGTCACGCAGTCAGTGCGAGGTCTGCGAAATTGCGCCGGTGGTGACACTTGCAGCAGAACAGTTGCGGACGCTCATCCCTGCGCCGCGCCCCAAGCCCATGCCTCGGGGCTACGTGACCGAAGCAGATCGCATGCGTTCCTCCTCTTCCTCTGCTGCAGCGGATATTCCCCAGCATCCAGGGCTGGAGCCGGGGCTGAGGCAAGGAGATTCCCAGTTTGATCGAATCCTCATCGGATTGGAGCTGGTGGCAACACCTGCATCGACTCTGACCGGCCTGGACCTCCTGCACACCATCCATTAGTGGAAGATCGTGGAGGATTGCAAGAAAGAGCCAGTATTATGAACCACTTGTGAAGACGCTTCCTCTGGGCACCTGGTATCGTACTTGCTTTGGAGACATCCACGCAGGTGAGTTCATCTACGCACGACCGCTTGGTTCTTCCCGTTGTCGTGCCGTTGATCGCCTGTATCCAGCAAAGAAAGAAGTCGCGCTCACGCTGGAAAAGGGAAGGATCTTCGGACCCATCATAGACGTTGCCCACAGTGGACCATACGTCAGCGTGCAGATCTCTTGCCATAGTCATGGACCGTTCTGGGCGAACATTTGGTACTCATAGATGAATGACGATCAGAACGGTTTCCCATTCGCAGTTCCACTGCGCGCTGAATTGTCTCAATGGTTGTTTGACCACTTCAAGGCATGCGATTGTGACGTACACCTTGGGCGTCATCGTTATCGACGCGTCGGTGGACACACCCGCGCTCCATCATAACGACAGTCGGGGCATCAAGATCGATGAGGCGAAGTTTGTGATGACTGACAATCCAAATCGTCGAAGACCTGCCGTCCATCTTCGCCAGACTCTCGTATGATGCTATGATGAGCATCCGTGCGACTGGCAAGAGTACGCAGGGTATCCCAATGTTGATCACCCCACTGTGCGAGGTGGATCAGATGTGTACGGCAACATACATGGACGCCTACCACTACGACAGTCATCTCGAGATACGGTTCCGTTTCGACCATAATGCGGGCTGGTGCACTATTTATTTCCTGTCAACCCATGGGCCAAGCAGCTGCCTAACTCTTGTTGTGCTGCGTACCGACTGTGACGACGGTATGGGCGACGCCAGCAACCAATATGCACAGGGCCAGGAGCTTCGCCGCAGGGCGGAGAAACTCCTGCAAGAGCATCAGGGCACGGCTTCAGCACACCATGCTCGCGATCAGATCGCGGCTGGGGATCTCTCTGATCCGATGACCGATAAGGGATTGAGTTCTCTGGCTAATGATCTGGCCGCCGATCGCGCTCACCTCGTCCTTAATCATGCTGTCCCTGATCTCGGTCGGAAGTTGAGCGCTGGTGGCAGCGCCCGCGATCGCATTCAGGAGCTCATTGAATACGGTGCGGCTGAATTG